ATGCGGGGCTCGATCCCAGGACCCTGGGATCATGACCTGAGCCGAAGGCAGACGCTTAACGACTGAGCCACCCAGGCGCCCCTATAAAAATGTTTTTAATAGGCTGTTAACAAAAGATTAACTTAATATGGAAAGGTACTTCCTATAATGTCCACATCATTTTAAACCTCTTTTTAACTTACAGCTTTATAAAATCCAGAACTTCTTCAAATCGTCTCTGGTGTAGTAGCTATCTTATGATACTTATGTACCCTTTCAACTGCTACTGACGGCTTAAGGTAGCTATCGAACTATGCACCAAAAAACAAAAGTTAAAAAAGAAAACTCAGAACTATGTATCTGAGACTCATGTTCCCTATAAATTATAATGCAATTTCAACTTTAATTCCACCATGTATGTAATAAAAAGGAAATTTGGTCTTTGAAATCTGAGATGTTCTTTTTCATTCTTATCGCTATGTCTGCATTTAAAACTTGTAAACGTGTCAACTCTATAATGTGTTAAGTATTTTATTTTCATCACAAAATTTAGGAACAATTTAACTGTTAGTTTCCATAGAGAAGGAGGTCAGGGGACTTTCAAGAAATGTTTTCTTTAGTATTGTTTACCTGGCTGACTTGATGTAATTCTACATAGAAATGTGTTCTGTTCTTTTATAGCTGAATTTTTACTAAGAACGCTGCCTATGGTAAATATTTACATTTGTTTGGCAATATGGAGCCACTTGGGAAAAATGAAGGATGACTGTCTTCTGATGTAATCAGCAAAACAGCACAAAGATGAATACACAATGGGCAGCCGTTTTCAAGTATATGAAAAAAACCCTATTCTGCAGGGCAAGGCTGAATGCCTCCGAAAAGTCATGGTTTTCTTTGTCCTTTACAGATGGCCATCACAGCAGTGACCCTTGGAGCTCCTCCAGTGGGATGAATCAGCCTGGCTACGGAGGAATGTTGGGCAGTTCTTCTCATATTCCACAGTCTAGCAGCTACTGTAGCTTGCATCCACACGAACGCTTGGTAAGACAGATTTACATGGTTATGGGGGCGACACAGCTAGTTTACGAAATCTCATTCTCCGCCTTTCCGTGCATGTACACAAGGACTCTGTAATGAATGTAAAAACGGTACACATCCATTACTCTTACAGTTATCTTGTTCCTGAGATCAAAGGCATAACAGATCACCTTTGTAAGCCCTTGCGGCTTTTCTTTGCCATTGTTCTTCTCTTTGTGGTGTTTTATTCCGTGCTTTCATTATGACAATGTTAGCCTCCTTCGGACATAAATACATACTGTGTTTGAGCTGTACAATTTCAGCTATGGTGGATCCTTGTCATTTATTTACTGTCTGTAGTTTTGAAGAGTCTACTGCAGGGGGCAGAGTGACAGTAGACTGAGAGTAGGTGGCCTGCTTCTCCCATGTGCATTTCCACTTCGCTTACCGACTTCTGTCCCCAGTGACAGCTTTGACCTGTGGTGCCACACCCAAAGGAAAGAGTTCCTGTTTCCCGTACACTCCACTAGTCACGGCAACCATGGGGGTTCTGTATAGATCAGATTCCCAGTTTTCAGTGGTTTAGCTATAATTCCACACCTCCCAACATCCCAGTGATGCTCCATTTCCTGCCTCAGTTGAAAACTGCTGAGCTGTAGGACATTATCTTGTTTCATTACTGAAGTGTCCACTCTGCCCATCGCCTACACTCATCCATCCTAGTATGTCCCTTTATCTTGGAGGAAGTAGTTCATCTGATCTTTTCCAGCCTCAAAAACTCCCACAGCTCAGAATCCGCTTAGGAACTTAAGTCGAGCATTACATGGAGATCATGAGTTAGGTTTGAGATGCAGGTAAGATGGGACTGAGTCCCTCGTGCAGCCCTATAACTTTAAAAATGTATGAAGTTGTGATCCTACAAATGCAGAAAGGTCTGACAAATCCAGTGATCCTTCGTGGTACTTGTGTCTCTACTCTTCGTCTTGAAATTGCCCCTTGTTCTTCTCCTAACACCCAGGTTCCTGTGCCTTTCTCTGCTCTGCAATAGGAAATAGCACTTTCTGGATTTCTGTGCTTTCCTCTCTTTTGTTCAACCACTAGAGACATAGAAAAGGTGACTTATATTCTATTCTGACAACGTAAAGTATTTCAGAAGTTACAGTCTCTAGTCCTGGTGATAGAGACACTGTGGTCATTTAGCCTATCTGTTAACAAGAGGCAAATGATGGAAATAGAATTGGCCTTTTTATATCATCTGCCAAGTTTGAATGTGTAAATCAAACTGTCTCAAATTTCAGCACATCTTCAATAAATAGCAAATGATTTTCTTGCAAATTTTATCTTCTCCCACCTCCTACTTTGAGGTATTAGAGCAAAAGCTTAGAGAAATATCAACTATTTCTTCTTGGCCAACATCTTTATTTCCCCATCATCATTTTCTACTTCTCTAAGGAACTCATGATCAAAACTACATGTGTCCTATGAGCAAGGAAAATTTTGATTACAACTAAAAGATTTTGGCAATATACTAACATAACATGGAATGTCAGTCCTTTTAAGAGTTGTTCATTTGACATTTATTTTCGTTCTTCCCATATTTCTTTCTTTCTTTCCTTATCATGCTCTAGAATTTTGATGTAGGTGGTTTGATTTTATCCCAATCAAATTCACTGCATGGGCGGAGGTATCTTTAAAATGTGCTCAAATGCATAAAAAGTGTAATTTTAAAAAGGAAACCAACTACGTTCCTTTTAGAAAAAATTTTGCTGAAAACCTTAAAAACCAAAACAATATTATCAACCAGGAAGAAAGATCATTTTGAAGGAATAACCCAACAGGTTGTGTCAGATGCTGTATTTGTGTAATGTCATTTATCTAACACAGAACATGGGAGTTTCATTCTTAATATGATTATTTAGCAGATCTTAGAGATTAAGGGTTTGTTTCAAAAAATGGTAAATGAATTAGGTCTCTGGTAATGTATCCTAATAAATTTTCTCACTGATAGGGAAACTGTTGGATTATTATATCTAGTAATCATTGTAATTTTAGTATTAACCATTTGAAAATCTCTCACTGAAATGCCTTTCAGAAATCTGACACTGAGAATAATTTGAGTATGCAGTAGGCACTTAGTGTCCTTTCACTTGAAAATAATGGTAGTTCCTCACAATTTTCGTCTCTAGCTTTAGCCAGTCTCACACAGAACAAAGGAATAGTTTGAGAAAAAGAAGAGTGTTTTCCTTGTATTATTTTGGGTATAATTTGGCCAAATTAGTATTGTCTCTAAAGGTACAATATTTTAGAAACATTATTGCCTTCATCACTTTATACTGTATTGTAACAGAATGTGTCATTGTAAAGCTTCAAATCCACACATTTCAGTAGCAACTGTCGAGTCACCAGTTTTGATTCTTTAAATCCCCTTTACGGTTTCAGCTTCTACAACACAATCCCACAGCTAATCACTGCTATGTCACAGATAGACATACAGAGTCACGCAGAAGAATGGAGTTTGTGGTTAAGCTTTGGAATGGGTTGTTGTAGAAGATTTAAGGTTGGCATGACTTGGCAGAGTTCTGTTTAGAAATAAGATAGAGTCCTCTGTCTGGCATGGTCTTTGCCCCGCAGAGTGAAATAGTCTTAGGAGCCTGGAATTTTAATATAAAAGAAGTTCTGAATAAACCCTTACCCTGGTGATTCTCAACCAGGTGTGATTTTACCCCCTCAGGGAACATTTGGGAATGTCTGAAGACATTCTTGGATTTTCCAGCTGGTAAGGGTTACTGGAATCTAGCCTATAGAAGCCAGGGATGCTGGTAAACATACTGCAATGCATAGGAGAGCCCCCCCCACCCAGCAAAGAACTATCTGGCATAAAAGATTAATGGTGCCAAGGTTGTGAAACCTTGCCTGAGCCCAAAGCGTGATTTTATTCTTAGTATGTGCCACCAAGTGTATTTTCTAATCTTTGAATTATCAACCCATTAGTGATAACAATATCATTAATAGAAACATTTTCGATACTTATTCTGTCAGTAGGCTCCAGATATGCTATAATTGGGCATCATAAGTAAAAATAATTCAATAGTGGGCATGTAAAGCTCTTATACTTTCTCAATCTCCCGTGTCTATGTGTAGTAAGCAGGGCAGACAGTATCAATAGCTGGAGGAAGAGAAGCTAAGGGGACCTCTCATCGTTGGTCCCTAAATACTCTAAAAGAGACATACTTCACACATCAGTGATATTCTCTGTAGTGTATTTATTATGTCTCTGAGTGACAGTAGTTTTCAAGACGCTTTTCCTCGTAAAATAATGTAGCTGTAAGTCTCATTAATTTCTTTCAGCATCCTATATTCTGTGAGTCTCTAAAAATAACTGATTTAAATGGATTGCATTTGTTTCCCCATTAAAATCGATAGGGAAGAACTTTTCTTACTGTTCTCTAAACTCAGTATTAACCCTCTCTCTGTTAAATCCTGAATTACTGCCCATTTGGCACCGTGTTAAAGGGTCTAGAAATCCTCCCCAATGTGAAAATCTTTTTCCCATTCCACCCTGTGATTATATAGTCGTTTAAATATTTTTCAAAATTCTTTACCTCTGTCTTGATTTTTGCATATCTGGGACTGATTTATACAGTTTCTCTGTTCTCAGCACAGAATAGCATTGTGTAGAAATGCAGGCAAACCATCCCTTTCTTTCAGTTTCCTTCTATGTTCAGTTTCTTTTTCTCTACTTTATTACTGTGTTTAGCTGTCAAGCAGAATTAGTTGTTCTAAGTTTGGTGTTCCGTGGCTTATCCGGTCTTTTAGATTAGTTGTACTATGGAATGTGCCCATTCTATCGTTGTTTGGAGAAAAGTTCATGGACTGCTTGGGGCATTTTGTAAGCAGCAAGGAGAAGTGAATTTAACAGGTGGCCTAAGGAATTTTTTGGTCAAGCACAGAAGTCCATGAAATTAGAAAGTTTGAAGGGCATTCTTGGGAAGTTGGAAAGTTTTAAGGATATCATCTCAACTTTTTCACTGACGTTGACCTTTCAGTTGGACTATTTTGAGTGCATAGAGGTAACGTTGTCAAAGGCATCCACCATGTCATTGGCAGATCTAATGTAGGTTTGTTTTCTAGACTGTTTAGTTCTCTTTCTTTCTTTTTTTTTTTTAAAGATTGTATTCATTTATTTGACACAGAGAGAGAGAGAGCACAAGCAGGGGGAGTGGTAGGCAGAGGGAGAGGGAGAAGCAGGCTCCCCGCCGAGCAGGGAGCCCGACGTGGGGCTCGATCCCGGGACTCTGGGATCATGACCTGAGCCGAAGGCAGACGCTTAACTGGCTGAGCCACCCAGGTGCCCCCAGTTCTCTTTCAAATAAGTGGCATTTCAATCCAGTATTTATTAAATGCCAACCGATAACCAGTTGTTCATTGAGGATATAGGATAATTGTGTGTTCAGCACTCAGCTGCAGGTTGTGGGGATGCAGAGATCTAAGCTCTATTCCCTCCCCTTAAGGAGTTTACAGTATGGGTGGAAATGCACTTGAAAGAGAAAGCATGAAAGGTAGCATATAATTAGGTGTTAAATGGCACAGCGCAGAATGTGAGTGCATTAGGGACTCAGAGAAGAGATCGTGCAAGAGTTGGAAGTAGGAAGGAATACTAAAGGAAGAGGTAGAACCCAAGATGGGCCTCACAAAATTAATACAGAAATACCAGGACACCAGGGTTTCACTCCTATGAATAGTGCCTGGGCTGTACGCACCCCTGACTTTTAGCATCATATTCAATCTCTAATTTTAATAAAATCTCCACTAATCACATAATAAAGATCCATAGCTGGTTAATATATTACATATAAGAAAAAATAGATTTTAGCCGAAATAGTTTTCCTTTACATGTTTGTAACACATTCAAATGCCTATGAGAATAACTTTTTAAGCTATTTTTTTTATCTTGAAAAATAAAATAGCTCGATGTGTTTTGGTAAATAACTGTGTCCCTGTTGGTGATCTGCTCATTCCCAAGCAGATGGATTCTAATTTGCCACCTTACAGGCACTGTGATATACCCCCAGGAAAAGCAGCTTATTTGGACAACAAGGGTAATAATTGAACTCAAAGCCAAACCTTAAGACAAATGATCCTGTAAAGATGTTCTTTCTTCATAGTCAGCTATCTTGTTAGATTACTGATGAAGAGGACACATAAAGAAAGAACTCAAATCAGTCTTTCTCAGTTCATTCATTCCAGTTTAATTCAATATAGTCATTGATTTAAGGCCTTACATATTGATGTTTTAGAGAGAGATTTAATCATCGTTACTTTTTAAAAGCTTTCCATTTTCCATTCTGTTCTTGCTAGAGTTCAGAAAGGTGGTCCAGTTTCGCAGCAGGAGGATTTGAGACCGGCTGCTGTTTGCTATTTAGTGTCCAAAAGTTCAGGATAAAGTGCAGTGTCAACCCCATGGGTCACGATACTGTTTTATTCATTGTATCATGGAATCTTTCTTACTTGATCAGTAGTTCATACGAAAAAATAACAGTAGAAATGGCCTTTTATGTTGCTGACACCTCAGAGATTCTTTTAAGCAGTAATTTTTGGATTTAGAGACTGTGATCATTTCTCACTGTCCCTATATTGCCATTGTATTCCTCTATATTTGATGCAAGCCCAAACCAACTATGTGTCTTTGTATTTTATTTCCTGAAAAATGAAAGCTGTCAGGTTGAAGCAAGATGTATTCTTGGATATTTTGAAATTCTAAGGGCTGTCTCCATTGCAAAATGGAGAGTCCTGAAAGGAGTATTAGAAACCTAGCCCACTAAATATTTCATGGTTGAATGTGGCCTCTTTTTTTTTTTTTTTTTGCGACAGAGCTATCCATCACACTCCTCAGCAGACATCAATTCCAGTCTTCCTCCAATGTCCACTTTCCACCGTAGTGGCACAAACCATTACAGCACCTCTTCCTGTACGCCTCCTGCCAACGGGACAGACAGTATAATGGGTGAGTCGTACAAGTGTCGATTCTGGCGCCGACAGTCACGGTCAGGGTTTAATAATGTCAGACCTCTTTTTTTCTCCCCATAATTGAAGAGCAATCAGGCAATGAACATTTGTCACACAACTGAATGAAAATACATGAACCAAACAGAAATAGTCATTGGCTTATCCATAATCACTTTTTTTTTGGGTCACAAGAAACTGATATTTGGCTGCTTGGTTCATTGTGAGTTATTAGATTGAACAAAGGTTGAAATAGACCCAAACTACCTTGCTTCTCACACTCTCAAACAGTGAGCAAAGTGAACTTTTATAACACAGACCACTGATGACTAATGAGATAGGGGGCAAGTTAGCTCTTGATAGTAATTACTGACCACTTCCCAAATTCCAGTCACTGTGGTAAACTCTTAACCATGACATACCACAGTCTTCCAAAGACTAGTTCCTGTGAAATTCGTGGGTGGTTATTAATACCTAGATGGCTTCACCTCCTGGAGAATGTGGTGTCACGGAGTCCTTCAGAGGGGAAGAAGCATTTGCTTACTGATTGGAGAGCAGCTGCCTGGGCATCAGAGCTAGAAGTTACTCACTGCCTTTTCTCAAGCAGATTTACTAATGAGTTGAGGCCCAAGCAGAGTGCTACTTCCCAGTGAACTAAACCATCATCCTCTGGTTTCTTATGATGTCAGTTGTGATTCTCTCCCAAGACCGATGATTCCTCCACCAGCGCTGTCTCCTGGAGGAAGGAGCTAGGCAGGTGTCCAGCTGCCCCCAGAGGAAAGAGTCCAGGCTGGGGATTCTTTCTGAATTGGCCTTTAACAACTTTGCCATTCAGAGGAATCGCACAGCCTGGACGTTCCAAGGTCTTATTAAAACCTCAGACTTCACTGGTCGCCACTAATCTGGGCCTAGCTCAAACTCACACCTTGCTTGCCCTCAAGATCTCTTCCAGTGGGTCCCTGATGAGAACATTAACCGTATATTTTAGAGAGAAGAATATGTGACAGAATAATCCTACTGTTTATTCCCCTTAGCTCTCTGCAGTTTTTCATTTTCTGTAGAGAGTCCGCAGGAGTTGGGAAAGTGGTATGAATCACTTATGTGGGAGAGTTTTTGATGAAAAGGAAGAGATGTGCTTTGAAATGTTGTAAATATAATTCTGCCTAAATAATACACTCCCTGCTTATTCAATAATATATTTCACACTTGAGATGAGCCACCTCACAGCCCTTCACTATTATGTCTCACTAAGAAGCAAATTTACAAGAGTTTCCATTTTCATAACTTTTCATAACAAAGCTTCTACAAATGTGTTGCATCAGTTTGATGCATTGGAGAGGAATGGACAGAGGTCACATGGGGAAGTTGGGTTAGCTATCAATGCAGTTTTGGCAGATTTGAAAAACAAGAAGAAAGAAAGAAGTGCAGAACTGAAAGGGTGAGAAAAGCATATTTCACTTCAGTGTGGTTTGACAAATGGAAAGCCCCTTTCTGCAGTCATGAGGTCTCGTTATAAAGAAGGATGACCGGTCATTCATCCTCTTACACGGCAGGTTTCCTGTCTACTTGTGGTTTGAGTAATTTTCTTTTTTAGGAAGGTATAAAGGTGGAGCAAAAGCTTGAGTTGAGGAAAACATACTTGGGCATTGTTTGAAAAAATGTTGTGTTGAATGATGTACAAAACAGTCTTTCTGGGAGAGAGGCACCACAACTTGGGAAAAAAGAGATATTTTGAGATGGAATAATCATTCTCCATGAGCTGTGGTCAGCATGGCCACAAACCCCAGTGGGCCTAAGATTTGCTTTATTTAAGATGGTTGACTCATCATTACCCTGTGGATGAACAGGAATGTCTGCTGTCCTTCTTCACTGGGTCTGGGCAGCTATGGAGTAATAGATGACTTCTGCCTACTAACAGGCTCAACCACACAGGAAAGATGGAGTGAACTTGTTATACAGACCACAGGGCCCTGTTGAAGTGGAGGGAGGGTCTCGACAATAATAAAAGAGCCATAATTTTAAAGGGGAAAGTCTGAGATTTCTGGAACCCAGAAAAAGGTTTTTAAGAATAACTTTATTACATAAATTGTTCCATAATCATGGGTATACTTGTCAAAATCTATTAGCAGAATGTGAGAAAGCTTTATAATCTTCTCAGGAAATAAGTAGAGAGGGTAATTCAGCTTTTTGGAGGAACAGACCTTTATTAACTTGCATAAATGCAATTATTACTTTAGGATTATGTTAAGGGAGAACATTCTAGAATGCAATTCCTTACGTTAAAATACAGAGGAAAATTTAAATATGCTAATAAGCCTTGGTATTGCAGGGTGTCGAGTGGCTCGTGTTTCTTCCCGCTTTAATTTTCTTAGGCTTTGGATTGATTTTCAGAGTGTGGTAGAAGTCAGGGATGGCAGCACGTCTGTGTAACAAGGAGAGAAGATTTCTCTTCTGATGTTAGTGATACTTCCCTAACAAACAGTATGGATTAATAGGATACATCTGTAGACTTTTGAAAGTATTTGGCATATACTCACTCATTCTGAAATGCAGGAAATAAAGAAATATTACATTGCCTATATCTCAAAGAACAAACAGAGCTAATTAAATAATTGGTAAATAGAGAACACATAGCCTAACACATGTTTGAGATTACACACATGATTCCATAGAAAATGACTATAAGCACTGCTAATGCCGTAAGAATGGGATTCAAGCACTAACACATGGACATCACATTTTTCAAGTTTTCTTGGTGAAAAAGCACAAGGCAATGCAATCTCTTCATAAATGGCGTTGATGTCTTAGGAAGCTCCTTTTTTTTTTCAGTTCAGAAGGAGATCATTGCCCCGCTTCTGAGTTTCATGTTATAATGTGTCCTCCCGGCCATCAGTGAATGTCCTGAACTGATCATAGACCAACAAAATGCATGTGGAGTGAGAGGCAAGCTTAGCACCGTCAGAAGGTGACCCCCTGGAATCACGCCCCCTTGTCCCCCATTCTGTCCTCTGCATTTCAAAGATGGCAGACGCTCACCGAAGCTTGCGATGGCTTGTGTGACTTGGTGGGGTGATCACGGTTTCTCGTTTTGTTTTGTTGGCTCTTGCCCTTTACTGCCCAATATCATTTTTTTGAGAAATAAATGCTTAAGAAGGACAGCACACCCCAATTATCGTAACAGGATTTTTTTTTTTTTTTAATGACACATTCATCCGTGGATTTTCAAGAGAATTATCACTTATTTTACTTGGGGCATGGAGTCCACTATTTTCCTCTGAAGCCTTGTCAGCAAACTCTGGAGGTTACATTTGATGTTTCTGAATTGGAAGGGTCTATGAAGCTCCCTGGAATTACAGGAATATAATGCACGGAACACAGCATGGATTCTTACTAGTTCAGCTGGTAGAGTACCCAGTTAAAGAGAAGAGCTAAATCCAGAGTTACCACCATCAGAGCTTGTTAACTATATTCCTAAAATCCTTCCAGGGCAGTGCGGCTGGATGTACGTGGCCAAGTGTTTAGATGCCAACCTATAGAGGATAGAAATGTCTAGAGGATAGGGGCACCTGGGTGGCTCAGTTGGTTAAGCGACTGCCTTCGGCTCAGGTCATGATCCTGGAGTCCTGGGATCGAGTCCCGCATCGGGCTCCCTGCTCGGCAGGGAGTCTGCTTCTCCCTCTGACCCTCCTCCCTCTCATGCTCTCTGTCTCTCATTCTCTCTCTCTCAAGTAAATAAATAAAATCTTTAAAAAAAAAAAAGAAATGTCTAGAGGATAGCAGCCACATATATTTTGCTATCTACATATTTCCTTCTTACCCACAATGTCCAATCCCTTCTTGACCAAAAAGCTTGAGAGCACCGCCTAGCCTAACGGTCCCCTGAGGTTACTCAATGACAGGAGTGCTCCAGTACCCCACTGGGGGATACCATGTGTATACCTTCCCAGAGTGTGACCCCTGCTTGTTTGGGACTCCACACCCTCCCTTCCCCTCGGAGGGAATTGGACATAAAACTAACATAACGGTTATAATAACTATTATTATTCCATTAGTCTTTAACTGGCCTGCTTTCTAATGCATGGTACTTCCCATGTTTTTAAACCTCAAACCAAACAGTGTTGAAGGAACAGACTGCCATGATTGATTTAATGCAACATATGCTAAGGATTACCCTGGAATATCTATCTGGTTCCTGAATTAATCTGGCTTACAACTTTCACTTCTAATGACATGTTTGTATGACATGATGCATTTTAGTATGTGGCTTTTCTAGTAGAAACATTATGTCCAATTCCCCTTGAGGACTTGGTTTCACAGTAATTTTATTATTAGAATAGTCACATAATATTCACTTTGTCTTTTGTAAGAATCTTGAGCCTTCAAATACAGTTGGGTGATGAACAGGCACAGAGCATAAGAGTAATATGGATTTTATCCAGCAGTGACATGGCATCTTAGTTACAAAGACCACCAACGGAGAACAATAAACTAGTTTGATTTAAGTCTTCTCGTCCATTTCCTGCACATGGTCCTGGGGCCCAACTCCCCCCTTGAATTCCTAGGAATCCCTCCTGCTAAAAATTAGTGCATTGTGGCCTATATTTGAGTCTTTATTCTAAAATCGTGTGTAGTAGGAATGCTGGAGATACTCCTTCTTTTGTCATCTTTATAGAGATGAACTCATGGCTTATTTTGGAAGCATTATGCTGCTTCTAATTGTTTAATCACATGAAGGTCACTTGGACATAGTTCAAAAAACCCTAAATTTTAAAGCAGTCATCATCTTTTGGATAAATTCACTATGAATTATACTACTTATTCCTTTTAGATCTTCACAGTGTTCCCAGCCTGAGGTTATGGGTGTGCAATAAAGGGATAACACATTTTCCAAATTCTGACTTTCAGTAGCCGGTCCCCAGACACCGCTCATTCTGATGTTGCGATTAGGGTGTGTTCTAATAGGAATTGCTGTTTTCACAAAGCTGAGATTGAGACCGAGGGTGGTCCCACATGAAACCGAAGATACCAGACCCTTCTTTCTGCTCCATCTTCTAGCCAGCAACAGCACCTGTGTTCAAGCCATCTGAATAATGCTTAGGGGGTTGGCAGTCTCGAATCCTCCTACAAAATTGCAGTTCCTTTTAATAACTTCTCATCTTGTATTCATATTTACCTTACCACTTTAGAGACTGATTTGTTTTTGTTTTTTTTTCCTTGAGCAACAGAAATTGATTAGAGCTAAAATAACAAGAAATCAATCCTGTCTTTACGTAGTAGGGGCAGTATTTTTATTCTCTTCCTATTATATGAGCATTTTGGCAATTTCTAATAATACGAGTTGACAAAAACTTGGGCCTAGAACAGGAATCGAGCCTGTTGCATGAAAGCCACAACGTGGACCTGATGAGCACAAAGTTTGATTAGAAGTGTGTTTGGCCATCCATTACCCATTACTACTCAGTATAAAAAAGAGGATGCCACTTGAGAATTTAAATTCACTTTCTGATTACGTTTGCCTTTGGACAAAGCAGTCACACAAATAAAAAGAGAAATCTTTAAGAGAAGGACCCGTGTAGCCTAACATGTTCAGGGGCTCGGAAATGTGTCTTCTCCCACATTTCCTGGAACAGAACAAAAGGCATTCCAAGTGAAAGGGCAGATTGGCCCCAGTACGCGGCTTTGAAATTTAAGCCCCTGGGTTTGGCCCTCCAGCTGCTGCAAGGTGGAATGGCTTCATGGGAAAAAATAGTCTGTTCTTATCAGTAGCTTCCATGAGTAGCCTTTGGAGTTTTCTGAAACATTCTCATGACCACATGAGGTAAGAAGTTGATTCTAGTTTTTATTCTACTTCCTGAGTCCTAAAAGAGGCACAAATAGAAAGTTTAGTTGGAAAGGTGTAGTACAAAAGTAATCTTAATGATCTTATCTTGTCTCTTCTCAAGTATGATTTTATGCTGTATATATATCATTTATTTTTTAAATTTCCCTAAAATATTTCTGTTGGTTTTCATGAAAATATATTTTGAAAAATTTATCACCCTCATGTTAAAGTTGTTCAAAGGAAGGTTTAGGCTTTTGAAAGCTACTACTGTAATAAATTTTATCTGTAATTGAAACAACCTCTTATCTTTTTTGGTGATTTAGGTTTTTTTGTTAGGTAATATAATTTTTTTTTTCCGGTGTGGCTCTGGAATTCCATTTCACAAAGATCTGTTTTCTAATCAAGCAGATCACAAATTTGTTTGACTGATAAATCTAATTTTTAGGTATCTGATAATATTGCTTCTAGGAAAAAAAAAAGTATCTAATTGCCCCCAAATACAATCGTAGTACATGCTGAAAAAATGTTAGTGCTCTCTGTGCTTTCAAAATCTTTATTATTTTCTCTTTAGAACTGTCTTTCATTTTTAGGAACTCCTCACTGCAGAAATTTTCATTTTCACATGAGATTTAATTTCAGTTATCTCTTATATTTAAGTATTTTTAATATTATTGGCATCTGGGAGCTCCTTCCACTAGCTCAATTGTATGTCTGACCCTCATTTCAAAGGTGCACTTATACTTATAATCCTTAGCACTAATAACCAATATAGTTTTAATATTATGAACTTGTGATATAAAAAAGGGTGGTTTTGTCAGAGGGTGGTTGCGTTCCTTTTATTGCATACCAGTTTTCTTTCAGTTTTAGTAATTAACAAATGAATATGGGTGTGGGTTTTGTTAAACAAATAAAGCATACCTCAGAAGATTATTGACTGACATACCCAACATATAACTATATAAAAATAGCAAGCACAATTTAACTATGCTAAGCAGAGGTCAGGAGAATGAAATTACAACCTAGAGAAGCAGAGAATTCAACCACTTGAGATCTGACCCCACTACTCCATTTTACAGATCTGGAAGCAGATGACACATTTGTCAGCAAGTGCGCTTTCTTGGGTCAAAGAGAGGGCTGGGAATTTTTTTTTTTTTTTAATTATGTCATGTGCAATGAAGTTCTGCTTGGATTAATCAGTTGATTTGAAATTTCCTTTTCTTATTTCACAAAATAGTGAAAGACGGCTCCTTGAAGTTTAATAGGTTTTATTTAAATACTATGTTTATTTGCTAATGTTCGGACCTTAATAAATGTCACATGCCCAGTGTTCTAAGTGTTGTACTAATACTGTTCAGTAGAGCTGATACTTTGACTTCTGTGCCAGAATCTATATCTTTTTCACAACAGTCCTCGGGTTCAACTATTTTGTAGTCAAAAATACCAGTGTTTAAGATGACAGAGATAACTTTGTGAATATGTAGACTTGTTTTATCTCCGGAATTTGAGACCATCCTGATTTTTTGTAGCGTCACAGTTCAGTTTGTTTGTTTGTTTGTTTGTTTTAATGTAAACACAGACTGGAGTATGTGGAGAATACGTGTTACTTGAAATATTAAAAATATTTTCTCTCCTAAGAAGCCAGACCCGTTATAGACTTTCTGTTTTATTTTTGCTGAAAGGAGCACCTCGTTTTGCTGTGTATCAAATCTTTTAAAAACTGGAAAGCAGGCGTAAATTACTTGTGAAGACAATTCAACTGACTCTATGAAATAGCGAGAAAAGGCACACTTTGAGGATTTCAGAGATCTGAACATACTGCTTACCGCTTAGCAATGAACCTCATGTGCTCACATGCTTGCTACCATTCTCCACTAACTACTCCTGAGCAACAAGGGGCCAAGTGATAACAACTGAAACACTTCATCTTTAAACCAAGGTGTCAGGTTTATATTTTATCTGTAAAAAAAGTAACATGAATATATTTGACATCTACCTCAGCAAACAAATTAATGCTAATTAAAGATTAATGTGTTGTAATTAGCATTAAAAATGCAATTAAACTGTGAGTAAATGGACCAGGAATAGAAAATTGTTAGACGGCTCACTGCCTGGTTTTTCAGATTCTGCCTTTTGTTTTTGCAGCAAATAGAGGAAGCGGGGCCGCCGGCAGCTCCCAGACTGGAGATGCTCTGGGGAAAGCACTTGCTTCGGTGAGGAAATATTGACTTTGGACTTCATATGTACCATTGTGGAAGGGTGAACTTTAATCAGAAGTGGACATTTGGAATTGTAGAAAATGAATGGCAAATAGCTTTGATTTCTGGAAATGCTAGCTTTCTTGTAGAATGATGATTGGAAAATTTGAGGAGAGATCTCTGAAGCTTCCAGGGAATGGCTGACCCTTCCAGCTTGTCTCCTCACAGTGGTGCCAAGCAGTCCTCAATTATGGATTTGTGGATATTCTCAAGGCCTTTTGGTATATAGATCTTCTATCTTGATTTCTTATTTTTCTCTAAATTCATATGGTGCTCATTGACCATCTAAGACTGACTTGGCATGGGGCAATTCTAAAACACTTTGGGAAAGGCACTTAAAAAAAAAAATGACCATAACTGAGGTCCGTGAGAAATTGTCACCTAATTGGCACCTGGGGACTCAGCTTCTTTGCCTCGCCTGTCCACCTCCAGGAGGCTGGAATTGAACATTTCTTGCATGTTCACTACTGACAAAGTAGTACACCTCATTTGTGTGAGGCCGTGTGCCTGGTATTGTCTTCAAAATCTACACGTGGTTGTTTGCAAATGTAAGTGGGGATTTGTTGCTCTAACATTTTGTCTCTTTGGTTGGTTTTTCCTTACCATTGGGAGCATCAAGTAAGTTTAATTTAACGTTGTGACCTAAGTGGAAGTTTATACTTCATCTGGCCATTCTTAAGCCTTGGCATTAAATGCCTCAATCATGGCGGAGAAGGAGTTGGACAAAAAGCATAGAGATGATGCTGTCTAATCTGTGTGATGGAGGAAGAAATGGGGGCTTGGGGTGTTCATGTGGCTTGCTCATGGCCACGGAGCCGTGGTAGGGCGTGGGAGGGAAAGGATTAGAAGCACAGTCTGTTGACCCTGGTCCAGTACTGTCCCCACCATCTTACATGAGCTCATAATTCTTGGTTTGAAAAATTAAAATAAGTGTTAAATCTTTCATTTTACAATATTGGTACTAGAGTCAATTGCTACATGTATTTTATGACTCGTAAGTTTTAGGTGAATTGCAATGACACTTTGTCATTTAAAGAAATGTTGATTCTTTATTCCTAATAAATGAGGGTGTTTTTTTTTTCTCCCCCACTGTTTTAAGATCTATTCTCCAGATCACACTAACAACAGCTTTTCATCAAACCCTTCAACTCCTGTTGGCTCTCCTCCTTCTCTCTCAGGTACTGTACCTAAATTCAATCCCATCATGGTACCGGTGTATGAAAACAATTTCCCTCTTGTACTTCCTGGTGCGGCAGGTGGAAACTCCTTCCCTCCAAAAGCTCAAAACAGAACATTTCCAAACAGAAAAATGGAAAGGTCTGTCTTTTCCACTGCCATATGAAAGTACAGCCACTCACATCCAAAATTTTTCTCAAAAATTAGATGTTTTTAGAATACTTAGGCATGTGGAAAACTTCTTAAACTTTTCTTAGCTTTGTAGAAGATATTCAACAGAATAATAGACTCTAAGAGACATCTCAGGGGGTGCCTGGGTGGCTCAGTCATTAAGCGTCTGCCTTCGGCTCAGGTCATGGTCCCAGGGTCCTGGGATCGAGCCCCGCATCGGGCTCCCTGCTC